ACCTACCTTAACATACACATGGCCTTAAAGCTTCCTCACTTGCTGAACAGTTTACAGCAGTGACAATTTGTGACGTAGGATGTATAGTGGAGGAGCTGTTACCCTCGATGATCTTGAAGGTCTCTTCCAACTCCAACTGTTCTGCTCGCCAGCTTTGGAAAATACTGCCCTAGGGCTTTTATTTTTTTTTCCTTTTGCTTCCAGTTATATCAAAAATGTCACAAAAATGTAGATAAGGTCAGAAAGAGAGGATGTGAACCACATTACTCCTACATAATAATGGTGGTCCTGGCATTGCTAGATGAACGGTTGGACTTGATGGCCTTAAATCTAAACAATTCTTTTTCTCAATCTAAACAATCCTATATTTTTCAGCAGGCACATGGGAATCAACAGGTGGAAAAAAGCACGTACATCAGCGAGAAGAAATGTTGCACATTAAAAGACTTCACAGGTTCATACAACCTCTCCTTAAAGGTCAACTCTTAAAGTGCTTTCTCTCATCTCATGCAGTCCTTTCAGGTAAAAGAATCATTGACCAGGGCAAGAGATTGAGATGAGTTGATGGATATACTGATCACTCTCATCATCAGTAATTCTGCCTGAAGCTTCCTAGGTGGAAGGTGTGCGGAAAAATCAGGCAGTGAAAAAGCAAGGGAACCCAACTTATAAGTGAGGTTTCTTAACTTTTTGAACATCTGAACCTAAAATTAAAAAAACTTCTAAGCCAGCCATTGAATTTGTCAAAACACTAAACAGGAATAAATAAATTGGAGATCTTGCCTCTTAATGTATTTTCATAGTTAAAAAAGTGGAAAATTCCTTGCAGCACTGCGGATGTTCAGCAACCTTCAGCCAATTGCCCATAAACAGATAAACAAAGCCAATCCCTGGCTGAAGAGTTCAGTTCTAGGAGATCTTTATGAACTGATTTGGCTCTATTATGTAACAGACAAGAAGACGCAGAGTTGAGGAATGGTGAGGAATAAGACAAGACATGATCTCATGTGAACCGAGGCCAAGAATTATATAGAAGGTGTAAAAACAATGGTCTGCACATATCCAGGCCAAGCAGAAATGACAAGCCTGCTGCCAAAAGTCATCCTTAAGAAACGCAAGGCTCTCTGCCCATCCAGAAAAGTGGTAGACTAAGTAGGAAGGACTCATGAGTTAAAGTAGACTGTGCTGCTTTGGATGGGAGTAGAAAAGATGCTGGGCTGGCACGACGAGATGAACGTGCCAAGAGAGTGAGATTCTCTGCCCAAGCCCAACATCTCTGTGGCACCGGAGGAGAGAACACCCATGCACCAAAAGATGGGCAGGAGATTCCTCCCACTGTGAGCCAGTCAGCTGGGATATTGCAGTTCACAGCTTGTCCTGTGCCAGCTTAGAGAAGTGAGGTCAGCAGGACTCCTGAGTGTTGCCAGCTGCTTGGCATGGTGGGAAGGAGCACAAAGCTGACACCATAGGGGAAGGAAAATGAAAAAAATATGAGCAACTCACTCCTTTGGGCCTCTACCTCCTTGACATGAGCTTGAGGAAGTCTCTGAGTGTTTGCTGCATGCCACCTCCAAAGCATTCTGCTTTCTTTGCTCCACCACCCCATGCTGGACTTGAACCAGGATGGGCACAAACCCTGGATGAAACCTCTTTCTGTTCTCTGTGGCTTTCGAGGCTATGTTCACACTACTAAATTGGACCGGAGAGGAATTGTCACCCCAGGCGGGCTCAGGGTAAACTGTCCCTGAGAAATGCCCTGGTGATGGAGGAACCAAAGAAAACCCCGCTCTGGATCTAGAGCCTTTGGCTAAGTGCCTGCAGGACCACTTTGCTTGCCTTTCCAAGTAAAATCCCACCTACAAATCATGGTTTTTTCTCTGGTTTTAGACAATTCATGTGAAGGATGTCCATGGATCTCCAGCTAAGAGTTCGTTGCCTACACACTCAGTCAAGGACTTCTGACCAGCTCAGAAAGGATGTGAATGAGTTTTGATAATATTTCACACGAATATTGCATACAAACACCCAGAAAAAAATAAATTACTATGTATTATTTGTAATTGAAAGGATTAAGAAAAGATTTCTTACCCAGTACACCCCTTGTGCATGTCATTATTATCTATGCTTAGCAACATTTTTTTGACACTTATTCTAAATATTACGGTGATCAATGTGTTTCACTGAGGGCTGCGCTTTGTGAGGGGTGCTGTATTTGTTTATATGTAATTTTATGGCTTTTGCTAATTCCCTGAACTTTGCTAAGTGATTGTCAAATGTTATTTATCTTGAGTTCTCAGTAACTAACACAAGCAAATAGTGAGTCACTAGCGGTAGGATTTTTGGGGGACTTTTTTTTTTTTTTTGCTTTGTTCCAGCAGTGAAACGATACTAAGAAACTTCTTTGAGTGAGAAAATCAGGAGGGTCATTGCATCTACTTGGCAGGATTTAAGCACAACATACTTCTGGAAGGGTGGAAAACCAGAGCCAGCGTATTCAGTGTTCTCCTTTCTCATTGGTGGCTCAGCCACGTGGGATGCTAAATAACACAGCTGTACACACTCTGACAGCCAACTGTTACTAACTTCTGCCCCTTTTGATTGCCTCCAGAAGCCGTACCAACATCTGCCAGGAAAAGGCGATCGGGGAGCATAGCTGGACTGACCCAGATTTCTGCCGAGCTGGTTGGCTCTCCACGCCAAACTTTCGCTAGAGCTGCCTTCTCTTGTAAGATTACTCAACTTCTCTGCCGTACTATTGCTAGTATTGTTATGTGAATAACAACAACAACAACGACAATAAGAGAGCATGAAAGAAAAGATTATTCTTTGAAAAACCTCACATTTCAATAGCTGCCATTTGGTGGCAAACGGTTGTGATGAGTTTTGACCTTTTTTTAATGACGCAAACCAAGAAAAAGACATCACAAATAAATACTGGCTTTTAAAGATCTACTCATGTGTGTCTGCAGCTGGTGCAGAGCTCCTTCAGTGCCTGACAGAGGACTGCATCTCAGCCACCACACCCCCTACCAGGACTGAATCCAAAACTCAGAGATGTCAAAGGGAAGAGGATTTATTTTCCATGACTTCACTGGACTTTGGAGCAGGTCCTAACCTAAGAGGCTGTTTAAAGAAGATGTGGGACACAGAGTAAAGACCCCAACTCCTCTTCCCAACCTCTTTCAGAGTTTTGGGCAAATCAGTCCTTAATTTGCCCTTGTAAGACCAGCTGATTGCATCAACAGGTTGCACTCCAGAAGTGCTGCTTGATGTGACCTGGCAGCTGTATCTAAAGGATCAGGATGGGGAGTAGGATTATCCCATTGGCCACACCTCAATCCTAAAGGACTTTTGCAACCTTGCCCAACACCTCTTTCCTATTCTTTTTGAGTAACAGCCAGGTGAGGTCAAAATGCTTTAGGTGCCATGAACTTGCCAAGACAGAAAAAAGGAAAAAAAGCACCATGACGAGCTGACTTTTGGACTGCAGCAAGTGAATAACGATGTTATGGCCAGGGCTGACAAGAAGGTCCAGGCTGACTCGGTCCTTCCTTTGGGTAAGGAAATGCTGCAATAGGAAGTTTGGTCACTGGTCCGAATTTCCCACTTCTGAGCAATTCTGTATCACGCTTGGAAAGAGGCAGAGACCCTTCACTGGGTGATCAGCTGCACTGTTGGCCAACGAGGACTGCACTTCTTCATCACTGCTGGAGATTACATCTATCAGAAACCAACCTTTTTGACGCATATTGCAAAAAGCACCAGCAAGGAAACTCTGCAAGGTGACAAAATCCTTCTGGTCTCTCTCTCCTGTAGGAAGGAGACATTTCCTTATGCTCTTCCCTTTGGAATCTATCCATGATAGGATTTCCTTATCTGAGCATCTCTAGGCAAACTCAGTGACTCTGGTTGAAGTTAGACTTGTTTACACCAGTAAGAGTCTGACTTGGTGTACATATGTGTGTGTGACCAAAACACAAAGAATAGGAAAGTTCAGAAGATGTTCGGAACGTGACCATCCGTGAGCAATTCCTGCATTTTTATCCAGCAATTTTAGCCTTTGGCACTCATGAAGGCAGGTTTGACTGGCTCTATCCAGCAGTCTGTGCTTCTGGGTGATACAAGCAGACCACTGAATGAGTTTATCTCCTCCTGATGGTTTGGGCCACTGAGAAACAGGAAATTCAGAGAAATTCAGGGAGAATGGGAAGCAATCTAGAAGTTTTAAATAACGACTGAATCCTGCTTTCCATGAGCATACACGAAATGGGAAGGCAGAGTTAGCTACCTTCTGAACTGATTTTAGCCACACACACATAGGCACACCCCACTCAAGATCTGTGTGTTCCCTTCCCTGCCTGAACCTGCTTGGTGGGGCCCTCTCCACCGGTGCGTCTGGAATTTAAAAAAAAAAAAAAAGTACGTTCTGATAACAACATTTCCCATCCTAAAATTGCACTGATTTCTGGCCAGGGTCAGGGAAAGGAGAGTTTTCCACCTGCCTTCAGCAACCATGAGCTGTTAACCCTGCCCACCCCAGAGGAACATTTTGCCCAAGAGCAAGATCGCCCAAGGGGAGAACACGCGACCGGTTGTACCGAGCTGTCTGTGCTGAGACCATATCTGCAAGACCGGGCAGATATGAGCTCCGAAAGGTCTTGATCAGTGTTGTGTGTGTTACTGGGCAGACTTTACAGGGGAAGAGCAAACCAAACTGAAGACGCTGATGCCCAGGGTGGCTTGTACCCGCACAAGAAGATGGCACTGCACACTCCCCGCAAGACTCTTGCTTTTCTGGGTGAGACTCCTGTCCTTGGCTGCCCACACTCTCCAAGAGGTCCAAGGACCACGTGCTGCTTGGCAC